TTATATTACTGCATTTGGCCCACAGCCCTGGATAGATTTTCATTTTGGCCCTCTCAAGGAAAATATTTGGGCACCCCTGGTTTAAAATGTCAACTTTCCTGCCAGCCATTCATTTTAATGTTGTAGTTCAGCCTCTGACCACTAGTTGGCAGCAGTGAGCCAGCCATTTGGCTACTCTACCTCTTGAGGTAGAGGCTATTAAGTGTTGGGTGACCTTATTGTAAATTAATATTAAAAACTAAAAGCTGCAAAAAATATATTTTCAAACTACTGTATTTATTGTCAAATTTAGTCTAATAATTGAAAACATGGATGAAATGAGAAATATGAAACAAAATAAAATACATACAAAGCAGAACACAGCTAAATGTATCAAATGTATGTCTCTGTAATATTAGAATTTTCTGAGACAATGAATTTTGGTTTTTCATTTTTTTCCCCATAAGAGGTTTTTATTTAATAGAATTCTTGGACAAAAAATCGCAATATATCGCCTTGCTTATAGTATGGCAATATATCGGGATACATCGTATCGTGACCCCTCTGTCATGATATGTATCGTATCGCCAAATTCTTGCCAATACACAGCCCTAGTTGTAAAACGTTTAACTTTATTTTGTAGCTGTTGTCTAACCCTGACACATTAGCTCAGTGTTTGTAAACGTGTCCTCTCCCGCTCCAGCTGGAGGTGTTCGACTTGCTGTTTGTGACGTGTGAGAACAGCAGCAGGAAGACGTACGTGGTTCACTGCGAGGACTGCGCCAGGCAGCGCAGCCCCAACCTGACCAACGTGGTGGTGCTGGAGCAGTACCGCATCGAGGAGCTGATGAGCACGTACGACTCCTTCAGCCTGGTGAGGAGACGCCTCCAGCTGTGCGGTAACATCTTTAATTTCCCCTCCTGTCCTTAAACAACACTGAACGTTTTGTCTCGTCTCACCAGGCTGCTGCCTCTCGGTGACAGAGCTCCTCTTCAGCGTCTCCTCAGCCATAACCAAAACTCTGCACGCCAGGGAAAGAATCATTTTTTTTGCTACTGCTACAACTTGGCGAACATCCAGCTGAACATGTTTACTCTTTTATTACTGTTTACAAGAAAAATACCAAGCCGCCAATAAAATACCAGTTTATTCTCAGATGGTGCTTTGAAGCAGAACCCCTGGAAACGGGTCAGCTGGTGCTGTCATTGAACAAACGGATGGTTTCAATTCAATGGCGTCTTTTTTTATTTTTTTATTTTTTTTTGGTCTTGAATACTGAAATTTATACACGCTGTTTGGAAACTTTTGTGGGGTGCTTTTTTAATTTATTGTATTCGTTTTTTAAACTAGATCAGCCTAGATATATACCACATTGGCCTTGTATTTAGAAAAGAGAGAAAATGAAAAATACTAATAATAGAGATATGAACATTTTTCTAAAGCATTAAGTATTTTAAAAAATACAATTGTTTGGAATGCTTCAAAAGATACGGGTTTTAGCTTTTTTCTGGGAGGGGGGTTCAATTGTTTTAATTTTTTTTTAATCTTTATCAACCAAGTCTAAAAAAAAATAAAGAAATTGTTATCTGGTGCGCGTTACTTTTGTTCAAATATGCAGAGAGATTTTTCTGAAATTTTCTTTTTGACATTGTACATTTAATTTAAAATGTTTCTTCTATTTATTGATGTTCTCCCTTCTTTATAGGGCTGTATAATTTTTTTTTTCCACTTTTTTTTGTAAGAACTGAGATGTCGGGGTTGTACGTTGGCGGGAGCCGTTATCCTGGTGCTCGACTTCTGCCTTTTCTCTCCTGATATATACTAAATTAAATCTTTATCTTGAACATAACACCACCTTTCCTGTAGACGTTAGGACACACTGCTCACGTAGAAAAACATGACTAATGGAATGCTGTGTTTGTATCCTCTTTATGGAAAAAAAACAAATTTTCCAAAGTGTTTTGAGAAATTGTACATTTTTTTTTACTATGTAGGGGGGTTTAGATGAGATTTTTGATATTTGTTAAATACAATAATGGGATAGATGGTGCTAAATATTCTTTTTTTTTTCTTTTTGTCCTCTTAAAATGAGATTTCTATTTTCCTGTTGCAATATTACCTTTACACTTTTCCTTCTCTTTGTGGTCATTTATTTATAACTGCACTTGTTTAGAGAATTTACACAGGCATACCTGCAGACACACCCACCAAACTGAGCCAGACATGTCTTAAACACTTGTGAATTTGTGTGACTATTAATAAAATAAACACTTGAGAAATTTATAAGATTGTCTTGTTTTTGTAACAACACTTCAGTGTTGGACGATCTTGAAAAATCACAACACAAACAGAAAGAATCCTCAACTCCATTTAAACTCAGCTTAAAAAGTCAGGAAATGTGTGTTTGGTAGATTATTTCTTTTTGGAAATGACAGAAGATTTGGCTAATTTTCCATCTCATTCCACAAATGCATGTTTAATAAATGTGGCACCACCAAGGGAATTTACAGGCTTTATAAATATAAAACTTTATTGCCAAGAACACTGGTGACAGAGGTCCATCCTGGGTGAGCTATCGAACTATACCTCTAAAAATGCTTTACACAACAGTCCCGGTTCAATAGCCGAGGCAATCTTCAGATCTGCAGTAAAAAAAATTTACTTTACCATTAAGGCCATCTTAATTTTTAACCTTTAAATATTTTATAAAGATTACCCTTCATGTTACCTTTTTTACTATTTTTAGTCATGATTAAATGAAGGTGAAATTTGGTATAAACTACTCTGTGGAAAAAAAGGTAGTGTCTTAATTTCAAGTATTCATGCAACCTACCTCTATGCTAAGCTAACTTTAACCCTGCCCTACCTTAACTCTAACCCCACCCTACAAAACCCAACCTTACCTAACCCTACACCCTCCATCAGAAATTCTTTCAACTGGCAGAATACTGACGACTCTGAACAGTGGCACAACCACATCAGTTTTTGTTCATTTCTTTTACCATAAACCATAAACTAGATACCACATAGCGGTAACATAATGACCCCCGCACGCAGAAATGCACAGGAACTCAGAAGACTTTATTCCTAATAAATGTCACGCATCCTAAAATTGTAGTGGTTTGGGTGGGGGTCTTTTTGTGTGTGTGTGTGTGTGGGCTTTCCAATTATTTTTAACTGGAAAACTCTGTGA